AGAGAGATGATGTGATATATATATATATTATATATATATATATATATATATATATATATATATATATATATATATATATATTCATTATTACCATATTTAGACACATATTTTGGTCATATAAAATGCGAAAATCTGGACAGGGCTTAAGCTTATTCCTTAACCTCCGCGACACATGTTACATAACCTCAACATACGTCTGTGGGTAGCTTCCCTTAGATCTTTAAGTCTCCAGCCATAGACCAGCGGGTTAATTACAGGGTATACTACCGCTAAACTGAATCCGATAAGATATAGGTCAATATAAAACTCTTCCTTGCAGCTTAAATCAAAGAAAATGTCCAAGATTCGAAGGATATCAATCGGTAGCCAGCAAACCGCACACGAGCCGTTGATTATTGAAAATGTCTTGAGAAGACTCTTGGATACAAAGAATCCTCGTGATCTAGATGATGCCATCTTCTTTTCGTGTCTGGCAACACTTTTATATATTATGAAATATACAACATGAAGAACTAGAAGGATCAACAGGTTCCAAATACCTAGACTATTATCCAACGTCTTTTGATTTCCCAAATAATTCATGAGTAGTGTAAATGTGAAAGACAAAATCCAGATCATTGATGCCACAGCAAACAGTCTCTTTGGTGAATTCACATTTTTATCAAATGGATATAAAACAATAACGAAGAGTCTTTCGATTGCAATCGCTACTAATGTCTGCAGTGAGATGATCGCAGCAGCTACACCAATTATAGATAGAAGCATCCTTGTGTTAGGCTTAAGGTTTCCACCGGCGGTTGAGATCAGAATTGTCACTGCAAACAAACAATCGGAGAGAGCCAACGAACCAATTAAAATATGATGACGCTTTCGTAAATCTCTTTCAAATATAAACGGAAGAATTACATGAAGATTTAAAACAATGGAAATCGAACAAAAAATGCATACAATGATATAATAATAATTATATGTGTCTGATCTTGTTTGAAGTTGGTAGTTAACAATTTCAATCAACGTAAAATTACAGTAGAAAGGTGTTTCCGTTGAAGTATCCATTGTTGGCTATATAGTTACTCGTGCACTGCTGAAATAGTACCCGTATCAATTAAGTCTTAAAATGAATTTTCTAGAAGTATCAAATTGATTGCTGAATTCAAGAGCTCAATATTTGTATAAGTCCTCAGTACGATCTATCCATGAAGTTATTAAAATAATAATTATAACTCCATGATCCATCCATATCAATCAATGCGTTCCTCAATAGTGTTCTTGATTGAGCAGGAGTCAAATTGGACTATGTGTTATTTTTTTTTAAAACGATGACGCACTAACATAATATTTATAAACGAGGGATTCGTAGTCAAAATTGGCTGAGATAGTGACGAAGTAAGGTCAGCAGACAATGTGCCTGCTTTATAGGTGTCCTTGATAAAAGTAGGCTTACAATGGACATAAGTCATTCTTTTGTAATGTTTGAAAATTTAAAACCTCTGTTATGGGGCCTAGGTCAAAACCGAACTTGTTGTGAAGCCCAAAGATGTTCCACTTGATTTCCTCAAACAAACGCACAATTCGTCGCTCACATCACGAACTAACACAATTAAATTCAATTGTGTTAGTTCGTGAAATCAAAAAAGCGCGTCAAAATACGCGCTGTTGTTGTTAAGGAATTTTTGTGTGGTAAAGAATACAAAATTGCTTGACAACCAATACGCGCTCGTTTTGACGCGCTACTGTGATTTCACGAACTAACACAATCGACTTTGATTGTGTTAGTTCGTGATGTGAGCGACGAATTGTTCCAAAAAATGCTATAATGATTACAGCTAGGAACTATAGATACAGTAGAAAAGAACAAATTAATAATAAATAATTTATATTTATTATTAATAATTTATAATTTATACAAGAACCAATCATACAGTGGAAAATAACAATAATATTAACCAGCATATACCCGTGCTCAGCACGGTATTGAATGAGTGTGGAAACAAGGCGATGATGTACATTGTTGAATGGGGAGTTCAGGAGGCAATCGTTGTGGATGTTATGGTTACCCGTACCCAAAAGATATTTGTACCTGTACGATCTCGTGCGGTCTGTAAGATTGTCGTCGCCGATAATAAGGTAAGTTTTATACAGTTTTTATTTTCTCTGCTTCGTTTTCTTTATCTTATCCTTTATTATATCTGTCTCTTATACACATCTTCCCATTTGGTGTTACCAAGAGGGGTTTAACTGTATTTTGGTTATAGAACAATGGGCATAAGATAATAAATAATAAGAATAGCAACAACTTCTCTGGATGGAAGGGTGGATTTATTTGGTATAAACACCAAGGATAACCTACGAAAGTCTGAAGAAGACTTATTTCCAGTGGGGTCTTTCTAGTGGTGGTTTGACAGTAAACCGGAGAACAACCTACACACTCTTTCCGAAGAGTGTACAGCGTTCTTTAAAAAAAGGCCGGGAGTACCCCGCATTTGAATTCCGGTTGAGAAAACTATATTTCACATCAGAAGATTTTTTTTCTTTGTCATTCAAAATCTATATTTAGTTATTATAGCAATAAGGATTAATTAGAATATACAATACATAAAGCAAAAAGAATAAATCCTAAAATAAGAGACTGCATCTAGATTGAATATTCGGTAGGCTTATTTAATACTTAAGCCCTTAGATTTATGTAGATTTCTTTCTATCTGTTTGAATTTGAAATATTCGCTAATACTAGTGTAAGGGGTCATTCAAGTATTATGTAACACATTTTTTGGCAAATATTGACACCCCCACCCCCCGTAACACTCTGTAACACTTTTCCAAACCCCTCTAAATGTTATGTAACTCTAGAACCACCCCCCACCCCCCCACTTCCGAACATCTACAATTTTAATAAAATCAGATGAACAACATTAAGTATCAGGATAAATGTCCTCCACTACAAATTTGTCCTACACTACAAATTTGTAGGATGTTTTGTTATTTTTTGATATGGTAGATGTAACTTCATTGTTTATTGATTTCACAAATTCAACACAACTGTGTTACAT